TTTTATTAAAGCAAATAATGGAGAAACAATTATAGAAGTATACAAAAGAATTAATGATGAGTCTGAAGCTATTGCTAAAAAAACCAATGGTAGAATTTATATGCGTAAATCTGGAAATTATACATTAACAACTATAAAATTTTTCAAAGAAACCACTTTAGCACTTCAAAAAAGTGAAAAAATAAGTGAACAAGAAAGTGTATAGATAGATTTAGCAATAACTAGTACTCTAATATTTGCAGAAAGATATAAAGGAGAAGCTAATTAATACAATATAAATTCAATATATATATTTGAAATGATAAAAAAAGATGTATCATGGCCAATTGCACCAGGTAAGTTTTATACTATAAACTCATCTTTTACAGAAAAATGGAGTAAATTTTCATATAGAATTTATAAAGCAACAATAGAAGGAAATCCTCTAAAGAAAAGTCTTCAATATACGAGATATTTACATTATAATCTACATAGAATTTACATATATTATGATTTAGAATGTACACGAAAAAATAAATTGAAAGTAACATTAATGAATATATCACCAAATACGCTTATTTATGAAAGAAATATATGTATAACAGGAAAAGACATGTTTAGTAAATAGAGTAATATATTATACAAAATTAAAAAAGAAGGTGGAATAGAAGGAAAAGTTAGTAAAGCATTATTAGTTTTATTATGGGGTGTATTATGTGAGCAAAGAAATGGACAAAATTATGCTCTACATTTATGAATAAAACTATTCTTATTAGCATCTGCACGAAAAAGAATATCAGAAATTGTGAAGCCACTAGAAGATCAAGTAAAACGTATACATACAGATAGCTTTATTATAGCTAAAAAAGTAAAACTTAAAACGGGAATAGAAATGGGTGAGCTGAAATTTGAGAAAAATGGAGTTTGTGTAGTAAAAAATTGTATATCAATTACATGGAAACTGTCATATCCAGAAATTCCAAATTTGATTATTTTCAAAGAAAATGAGTTTCGCTCTACAAATAGTTTATCAGATTTTGAGAAAATACAACAAGATAAAAAGCAGAATACAATATTAGATACAAAGTATCCTGCTTTACAGATAGCAAAAAGAAAACTATCAAAAAAGTCTAATATAAATCTTCTGAATGAAATTATAATAGAAATATTTCAATATTTACAAACACAAAATAAAAGATTATATGGTAATAATGAATTATTGTTTTCAGTTTTATATATTAACAAATGATGGAATGAATGCGCAACATATTTAATATAGAGAAGGATTAAATTATATAGATATAATATTAGAAATTTTGTTGAAATAATAAAAAAGAAACCATTACTGAATGTGATAAAATATATAAAACAGATAGAATTTGAAAGAATAGATAATTATTTTAATATAAATGAATTTCTATTAGAAGATATTGCAAGTATATACCAATATATAATAACTATATCATTTAAGGATTGTGATTGGGGATTTCTTAATAATAGTTCACTAAAGATAATATTGGATATGTGCAAGAATCTAAACCATATATTTATCTATGAAAGTAATTGAATATCACCAAAAATTATCTTAAGTATACCAGAAAAATGTACAAGTATAAAAACTATAAAAATACAAAATTGTGAACGAATAACAGATAAAATAGTAAATCAATTATTGAGCAAATATC